TTCTGAGTACTGACATGCCAGGCGGGCCCTCGACGTGCATCATCACCTCATTCTGTGCTCATTTGTGCTCACCCAGTGAATAGAAGCTGCTGCTCACCCCAGTTCACAGGCAAGAGAACAGTGTTTTGGAGAGGTGAGTAGAATTCCGAAGTCTCACAGCTATGAAGAGGTGGTGTGGGGATTAGAAGTAAACACTCCAATAGATCAGGCCAGACCCAGCTCATGTCTATTTTGCTACTTATCATTGTTGGTCCCAGCTAGTGGAGACTGAGCTCCCAGGAAGTTTGGGGCTCTGCCCTGGAAGAGCTTCTTTTCTTTTAAAGATTAGAGAAGGAGAGGGAGAGGGAGAGAATTATCAGTGTGTGGTTGCCTCTCACAGGCCCTGTACTAGAGATCTGGCCCACAACCCAGGCTTGTGCCCTGACTGGGAATCAAACTGGTGACCCTTTGGTTTGTAGTTCACGCTCAATCCACTGAGCTACACCAGCCACGGCTGGAAAAGCTTATAATCCATGGGAAAACAACCAGTAAGAATCAGTCACCACCCAGGATACTCTCTCGGGCCTCGGCAAGTCGCCCTCCCTGCGTGCCCTTGCCCATCCCAGCCCTTCTCACCCTGGTGCACATTGGCCGGTCCGGTCATTTGCCTCTCTTCCCCACTCCTCCCCTGAGACAGCTGTGGGTCTGTAATGATCACAGCTGGATCACCCATGCCTGGCCCAGAGTTTGTTATCTAATAAGTCTTCAACAAACGTGAGCTGAATGAAAGAATACATTTCTGAAACTACTTCTACCATGCTTTCCGAATTTTTAAATGCCTTACTGGCAACCTGTGTATCATCTGATATGGTATTTCCACTTCTAGCAGTTTATCCCAAGGAAATCATCAGACACACACAAAGCTGCATAAATATGGATGTTCACTGCAGAGCTATTTACAATAGTGGAAACTGGAAATAACCCAAACACTAAAGCATTGTGTCAAGTTCTCCAAGGCTGACCAAACAGGAAAATGCTAACCTAATGATGGGGGGTGAGGGGAAACTGGTCACAAAGTTACACACGTTATTCTGATTGTTTTTTAAAGTAATACAAATACATATAAAAAAAACTGGGCAGGATGGTCACTAAAACATTAATAGTGCTGATTCTTGAGTCACATGACCAGTAGTTTAAATTTCCTCTTATATGTTTTTCTGATTCTTTCAAAATTTCTGCAATGAATAGTTGCCACTACTATAACTGAAAAAGGAATATTTGAGGTTTTAAATGTGCCCCACAAGGTAAGGAAGGGGGAAAGAACAGGGGTCTTAGGGTCTGAGGAGTACACCACTGGTGCCAGGCATCTTAAGGCATCACCTTATCTGACCATAATATCCTAATAGCCCTTAGACTCTCTATTCCCACCTTACAGATGAGAACACAGACTCAGAGAGATGAAGCAACTCTCCCCGGGTCACACAGCCGGTGATGCAGGAAGCCAAGCCCAGGTCTGTCTGAGTCCACAGCCCAGGTTCATTCCATCCCACTGCATGCACACATCCCCATACATACTTGGAGTGAAAATGTTTTTCAAAAAACACAAGGACCTATCATTCTGATCTTAGAATTTCCAGGTCATAGGGCTTCTAGCCTGGCCTGTTGGTCCTGTGCATAATATACGATGAAGAGCAGGCATGATTCTGTCTGTTGGTGCAGCATTGGACATCTGTTTTCTCAACCACTGCTCACAGCGATGCCCATAAAGTGGGTAGTAGGGGAATGATCCCCTCATCACCTCACAGAGTAAAGGCACTATACCTTCAAGAGGGAAAGTGGGATCAGGTCAAAGATGCTTGATGAATGAGATGTGGTTATGCAAGCTGCTCCTGCCCTCCTCCCAAGCCGTTCATCATAACTCTCACATCTCTGTGCTCTGCCTCCTCCAGAAACAGTGAAATTCAGGAGCCACTGATGCCAGTGAGACCAAAGAGTAAATCCAGAGCAGTGAAATCAATTCAGCTTCAAAGACAGCACGCAATTGAGACAGGAGGCGCGTGAATGAGGTCACAAGCTCTTCCAACTTGACCTGAATGGACTGCCAGTGCAACTGGGGCTTCACCTGAGACGGTCAGACTCCACTGGCTCTTCTCACCTTCCTGTGTTCCCGGCACTGGGAGAAAATTGCTGAAGACAGGCTGTAGGAAGAAAAGAATCGGATCAACTTTTATTTGGTTGTTAGACAGGTTATACAGTTGACTCTTGCACAACGCCGAGTTAGGGATGCCAGAAGCCCCCCACCCATGCAGCAATCCAAATTCCACATATAACTTTTTCTTTTAATTCTCGCCTGAGGTCACTTTTTTTCATTGCTTTCAGAGAAAGAGGGAAGGAGAGAGGAGGGGAGAGAAAGAAACATGGATGCGAGGGAGAAGCGTCAATTGGTGGCCTCCTGTATGCACCTGGACCAGGAATCGAAACGGCAAACTAGGTATGTATGTGCCCTGACCAGGAGTCAAACCCGCAACCCTTCGGCTATAGGACAACACTCCAATGAATTGAGGCACACTGGCCAAGGCAGCATGTAGAACGTTTGACTCCCTGAAAACTGAACTACTAATGGCTTACTGTTGACCACAGCCTTACTGATAGCATAATCTATTAACATATATTATGCATGTTATATGTATTACATACTGTATTCTTATAATTAAGTTAGAGAAAAGAAAATGTTACTAACAAAATCATAAGGAAGAGAAAATACATTTACAGTACTGTATTTATTGAAAAAAATCCTCATATAAATAGACTTGCGCAGTTCAAACCTATGTTGTTCAAGAGTTAACTGCACACACTTTTATTCTTCCGAAAGGAGTAGGCAGTATAGAGACACCCTTCTGGTCTCCAGTCTCCTTGGAGGCAAAGAGTCTCTCTAGCTTCTCTTAACTCCTCCCAGAGCCTTGCATATATATGCAAAGCATATATATGCAAATGACAATCAAATTTAAAATCCACTTCTTCTCCCTCCCCGTGATTTTAGACACGTCGAATAAGGGACTCCACAGCCCTGGGTTTCCATCCTTGCTTCGTCACTGCACGCCACAGCTGAACTTTTCTGAGCTTTGCTTTCCTCATCTGTAAAATGGGGTGAAAAGTCCCTCCCGGGTTGCCATGCAGATTAAACTGGATACAAAACTATATACATAATTCCAATTCTATTTTTTAATATTATTAATAAATATGGAAAAGGCCTGGGTCACTGTGAGGCACAAGTGGGTCAATGAAGCCGACACTTTGGGGCCCATCCCAGGCCCCTGAGGATGTTGCAACCACCCCAGGAGAAGGTGGCAGGCTCCTCTCCGAGATGAATAGAGGCTGCAGGCAAACCTTTGTCTTCTGCTCTGAAGATGACATTTCTGGCTTGGAGACCTGGGGCCTTGACAGTGTTTCATTCTCTATCCCTTGTGGTCTTGGGGTCACCCTGTCCCTGCCCTAGGGTCAAACTTATCCTAAGGGCCCCGTTTAGCTTCCGGGTCAGAAAAGAGCATCTAGGCAGGGCTCAGAAATCACGGGCTGACCTTGAAAGTTATCAATTAATCTCTACCACTCTTCCTGGGGAACTGGGGTTCAAGGGCTAGGGGAGGGAATCTGACTAAGACAGCCACAGAGAGGTAAGGGAGTCAGGAAGACGGAATGGCAGAATCCTTCACAAGGTCCGCCAAGAGCAGGATCTGAAACAGTCTCCTCTGGTGAAGGTCAGACCAGCAGACATTCCACAGGTGCCCCTTTATCTCCCGTTGGGTACAAGTCCCTTTGTGGGATCATTTCCTGTCCTTCCATCCACCTATCTGTTTGTCTTGCCAGGAGTGCCTGCTGAGGCCTAGCCAGAGAGTAGCCCTAGCCTTGGCACAAATCCACATCCTAAAATGAATCAGATTAAGCTGGTTGGAGCCAGTGGGTGGAAGACAAAAGATGTACTGGGGAGGGCACAGCAAGAACCAGGGCTAGTGGGTGCAGAAATGTTGGGCTGAGGCCAGCAATGAAGTTGAATGCAGGGTGAGGGGTCTGAGCTCCTACAAAGCGTCCCAAAAGTCATGGGGAAGTGAGGAAAGGAAGGACAGGGGGCTTCACAGAGACAGGCAAAGAGTCTGGGGTGGAGGGAGGAAGCAATGAAGAGAAATGAGACAGCTGGAGGCGGGGCCTCAGACTTGGTTCCAGGGGTTAGCCTGTTGGTAGCTATGGGCCTGTCTTCACACCACCAGTTAATGCCAAAACTTCCCTCTCCCCCTTTAAGGCTCTGGCTCTTTCTGGGCCAGGGGTTTGGACTGCTAGTCCTGCCCTTGCCCTCCCCTAAGGCTCCCAGAGCCCTGCACCCACAGGAACCACTTGCCTCCAACCCCCTGGGGAAGTGGTCAAGAGCAGAGAGGCTGGAGTGAGACAAACTGGGAGTAAATTCTGCACTAGCTGGCTGGCTGACCGAGGGCAAGTCACTTCACCTCTCCAGGCCTCAGTCTCCTACTCGGAAAGCATGCTAATGGAAGTACCTAGCACCCAATGTTACAGGGAAACCAAGAAGTTTAGAGGACAAGAAGGACCCAACGCTTGGCCCTGAACCTGCCACAGTGTCTGGCAAACAGGAGGAGCTCCAGTTCTCAACACAATGGCCAGTGTAATTTTAATTTAAAGGGGACTCTCCAATCCCGGAGGACTCAGGGCCCAGAGCCCAAGTCTCTGTGGTAGGATTTACGGATCAGGGACAAGCCTAGGGCGGGGAGGGGATATGGAGAAACCCCAGCAGCCCTCAGCACCAGCCGTCTCTCTTGTCCCAGAGCGCATACACGTGCTGGAGGAAAGGAGGGAGAGTCATCCAGCGAAGACAAGAGTGGAGTTGGGGGAAAGGTTCACGTCCCTCTGGCCCCACATCTCCACGTGGGACTCAACTAGAGGGCGGGCGGGGGCGGTGCCTGGCCGGCCTCCCGCGCCTCGCGGGGGAGGAGGGGGGGCGTGTCTCCCGAGAACCGCTCCTCCCGTCACTGCTCTAAGAGGCTGCTCCGCAGCAGCGAGCGGGGCCCGAGCTGCAGCCTGAGCCAGAGGAACTGAGCCCAGTCGGCAGATACACGGCCGCGGGGACGGCAGCGGCATGACCGGCCACCACGGCTGGGGCTACGGCCAGAAAGACGGTAGGCACAGACCTTGGCCAGCTGGGATCCTTTGCGACCCGTGCCCTGCCGGGTTTCCGGGATCCGCTAGTGCCCCACTCTCCCCATCCAAAACCCCTCCTCCCATCCAGCCCCTAGAACCTGGCCCACCTGCCCGGCCTGAGCCCTGGCTCCCCGGTGCCAGGCGCAAAGTCTGCGCTGCGCCCCAACCTGCTCAAGCAGCCAGCTGCGCTGTGCCGCCTCCTCCGCGCAGCCTCCAACCACCCGACTCACGCGAACCCTGGCCCCCGCCCGCCCCCCCCCACCCCGACACTCACTCACCCATCTCTCGTGGTCCCTGTGGGCAGAAGTGGCCTAGAGCAGCGGGAGCGGTTGGGAAAGAGCGCTGCGCGTGGGTGCGGGGTGTGGAGCGCGCACGTCGTGTGTGCAGGAACATCCCGGGAGTCCGGCTCCGCTTTGGCAAGGGCTCGGTGTCCCCAGGACAGTGTGTCCCTACGGGGGCTGTTTACGCTTACCTGATAGCAGGTACATGATGGAATGGGGCGTTTGTGTGCATACGCATGTGTCTGGGTGTCTATATGGAGCAGGGTGTCTGAACACATCCTAGTTCAGTGGCCCATACCATCCTCCTGATCTGACCCGGAAAATAGGTCTTCAGTTTCGTTAGGATGCAGAGGAGGGCAGAAGGGGCAGAAGGTGAGGGGCAGAGTTCTTGGGTGTGGGTCTGGGGCAGGTCCGTTCCTTTTGGGGATGTTTCTTACCAAGCTGGTGTGATTGTCCGGGGGAAGGGTTTTCCCCGTTTCCCTGAGGTGAGCAATGAGGACCCAGGATCCAGGCTACCAGTAGACCCATGCAGGGCAGGTGACGGGTGGAGAGAAAGAGTGCTAGTGGGAGGAACACTTCCCATCCCCACCTCTCTGGGGAGAGGCAGTCACTCTGGTGGGGGAGGGGGCGGAGGCGCTGGGCTACAGTCTGAGGTTCGGGAGGTTGCAATGGGCCAGAGGGAGTTAGAGAGATGCTGTGGCATATCTGCCTCCCTCAGGGACTTCAAGGGCACAGGGGCATCTTTTGGAGGGGCAAACTCCAGACATAGGCATGCAAAAGCTAGAAAGAGGCATTCAGAAAAAGGCAACAGAGACCACCAGAGATGGAGAGAAAGGCAGAAAAGGGACAGGTTGACAACCCATAGAAGATTACCTTCCCACCAGCACCTGCTCCAAGCTCGTTCCTGGGTACCTCCCCAGATTCAGAGTCCCCTAACTTCAGCCTTCTTGCTAGTCCTGCCCACAAGCTCTGAGCATCCAGTATCCCATAAGCCTACCCCATGGCCAGCCACCCTCACCCAGCCAGACCTGGGCGGTCCGGTCTAGGGGTGCTGAGGGGGAGAAGGACAAATGATAGAGGTGCCATCAGGAGGCATACTCACAAGACTTCAAAAATAACCCCATGAGTCTGGGACACGCTTCTGAGTCATCCACTGGGGACACAGCTCTGTTGGCACCTGCTGTTATTTTCTCAGGAAAACTTAAGAAGCCAAAAAACAGGGAGAAGCACCAGCCGGCAATTGCTCTAAAAATAGGCTGCACCTCAGGATGTTTCCCAGGGAGATGCTGAGCCTCTCAATCTCAGATGGGGCCTCTGGGAGGCAGGTTGTAGGTGCCCGTGGGTGTACACGCAGGTGTGTGTATATGTGTGTGTACCTGCATGCGTTTTGCTGTAGCCTCTTAGTGCAGATCTAGGTTTGCAACAGGGGGTCCCTGTGTGAGGGTGCATATGAGTTTGTCCGATATAGTTAACAGAGTGTGTGTGTGTGTATGTGTGTGTGTGTGTGTGTGTGTGTTGTACCCATGAGTGTTACTGGGCCTAGCCACTCACATCCAGTGAGCTCTGGTCACTGTGGACCTGTGTGCACGCATGATCATCTCTATGGATCTGTAGGCACATGCCTGGGGAGGACGGCTAGGGGAAGTTCACACATGTGCTGTGTTTATATAAGTGCCCAAGTGTATATGTGCACATGGCTGAATGGCCCTCAGTTCCCTCGTCTGTGAAATGAGGACCACACTGGTTTCTGCTTCACAAGGTGATTGTGAGCAACAAAGGCATATCACAGAGACAAAGCCAGGATTATGGGATTTTTATTATTACTATCACAAACAACAAGGCAAACATGTCCGAGGTGCAGGAAGAGGTCCTATGCCTGGCATGGTCAGGTCAGGGGCTTCAGATGCCAGAGGGACCTCCTATCAGCTCTGGGTGGTGACTTTTCGAGAGGTCATTTCGAAGACAAGGAGGTGAAGGGTAAAGTGGAAGATCTGGGATTGAGCTCCAGACGGCACAGCTCCAAAGCAGGGGCAAAGGTCTGAAAGGATGCCAGGGAGACCATCCCCCACAGATGCCTTTGGCCTGAAGCCCAGAGATCTGGGATGGCCTGAGTCCTTGCCCTCTCCCCACCTACAGGCCCCTCGCAGTGGCACAAGCTGTACCCCATTGCCCGGGGATACCGCCAATCACCAATCAATATTATATCCAGCCATGCTGTGTACTCACCCAGCCTGAAGCCACTGGAGCTTTCCTATGAGGCCTGCACATCCATCAGCATTGCCAACAATGGCCACTCTGTCCAGGTGGACTTCAATGACAGTGATGATCGATCTGGTAAGTGGCCCCTGGCAGACCCTGGCGCCCCTCCACCTGGGGTCCTAACCCTGTTTTGGACAGGCTCAGGAGGGGCAGCATGCTGTGGGAGGGAAAGAAGGCTTCACCTCTCACCAACTATGAAGCCACGGCCTGAGCCTCAGTCTCCTTAGGCATGAAACGGGAGCAACAAGACCTTATTTTCCTCCCTAGGATCATAGAGAGAAAAACTGAGAAACTGAGGTGATGATTGTAGTGCTGGCATATAACAGATGCTCTGAGGCTCAAGAAATGCTACGTCTCTCTTTCCCTTCCATTTAGTGCTTTAGGCTGGGTTTGTTTTCACTTCACTCCCTGCCCCATCTCTGACCTGCTGCGTGGCCTAAGGCCAAACCCTCCTCTCTGTGTGATCTGGCCAAGCCCAGCAGAGAAAGAAGGGTGCTAAATGTTCTGTGTGCCAGGCCCCTTGCTAAGGTCACAGGAATAAAAGCTCTTTTATTCCTCTCAAGAACCCACCTCTAAGATGGGCAAGCAGAGACTCGGTGAGCCCAAACCAGGCAGTTCTGACTCCAAAGGTCTCCTTTCCAGCCCACATTCAACCTCAGGATGCAACGGCCTTGGGCCAAAGATCGGCCAACAGGGACTTGTGGCACCCTTTCCACGGTCTCTTTGACTTGGGATTAAAGTCCACGTTCTATTATGATAAATTCCTAGGCAGAGGGAGGCCTCAGGAATACTTCTCAGTGAAGCAGTTGTGTCTATAAGACCAGGCCTGTGAGGTGTGAGGTGTCTCGAGGTGTAGGCTGGGGCAAGGAGGAAACTGGCTGGAGTTTCTTTTGTAAGAAAGTGACAGGAACTCTGCCTACCATACCCCACCCCCACCCTACACGCATAATAAAAGCGCTCAGGGGAACTTAGGGTTCAATTAAAAAATCAAAGGGCAGGGAAGAGGAAGGAAGCCAGATAAGGGTGATTTTAGTTGCTTAGCCCTGAGTTTCCCGGTAGGCTAGGAAAAAAAGGAGAGAGGATCAGTTATAGCTCTTGCTGCAGAAAGAAGCAAATCCAGCAGATCCTCAAAAGAGAGACATAGCTTTCCTGGTACCGAATTCTAAGAAAAGCCTCTCACCCAGAGCTTTGAGGTGGGACATGGAGCTCTTGATGACCCTAGATTAGGGTTTATGAAGGAGCCATTTTTGTGTGGTTGTACCTTCTAAACCCTTCAGAGGCCACTGAGAGTTCAATTCAGATCAGAAGCTCAGTGAAAGACTACTGTATGGGGTGGAGGTGGGAGACCCAAGGGCGCATGCCTCTGGACCACTGACCCAAGGGTTCACTTTCAGGTCTGGCTGGGATTCCCCTACCAGAATGCCCAGACCAGAGGGGGCAGGAAACCAGTGGAAGGAAGGTGGGCTTGGGAGCTAGGTAGTGGGAGATCAGCCACTCACCAGTTGTGAGACCTTGGGCAGGATACCTACTTTTCTGAGCCTTCATCCCACATCTGTCCAGTAGGGATAACAGTGCATCCCCTACCCCTCAAGGTCTCTGTGGGGGTTGACACCTATGGGTGCAGAACACACAGTAAGTACACAGTGAATGGCAGTGTGTTTTATGGTCAGGACAAAGGGAGGAGGCCCAGGGAGCCAAGCTCAAGGGTTTAGGGAAGGAGTGCATTCTCTGAGAGACCATACTCTGGGGTTCCAGGTAGGGCATGCTCAGAGGGGTGGGTCCCCACAGGCTATATCCAGGAGCTCAGCCTTCAGGACAGACAGCGAGGAGGGTTAGGCCTCTGGACTGTCCTGTCTTCCTCCTCCCCCTCCTCCTCCTCAAGGGGCCCATAGGGGGCAAGGCCCTGCCCTGGTCACCCATCCTGAAGAGGCCTAGTGGAACTCTGAGCCCAGGGCCGTCACCTGATCCAGGGGCTCACATTCAGGCCTGGCAGGGGCTCCTTCCACTGCCAGATCCCTTTCAGCTAGAAATTCAATCAGTCCCAGAAGGCCTTATGCTTGGCCCCAGTTCACCAGATATCAGGGTGGGAAAGTCACAAAACCAGCACAAGTGGGACCCACCAAAGAGGTCGGGACAGGGGGTGTACATTGGAAGTACCTAGACCTCGCCACCAGAGTGGGAGCCCTCAGGAGCTGGCCTCTGGACAGCACCAGGTCCTGGGGAGGCAGCATGGCCTGGTGATTCATGGCTTGGGCTCTGGACATACAAAGGAAATGCAGGCTTATGTTCTAGCTCAGTGACTTGCTGTGTGACCTTGGGCAACTGCCTTGCCCTCTATGTACTTTGGTTTCCTCCTGTATAAAATAGAGGTAATAGATTCTGTCCCTCATGAGCTACTATGAGGACTAAACAATATAATCCTTCTGACTCCACCCTGAGTCAGAGCTCCAAACAGGGAAGGCCTATTGTCAGTGATAATGGGGAGCTCAGAGGCAAAGTTCCAGCCTCTGTGCAAAATTGGGTAGGAGTGGGGAGGATGGAGCGATGTGTTCTGTCAGTACCAGACTCTCTGCCACCTACAGACTGCCAGGATTTCTGCCCTGGCCCAGCTAATGGCCCAAAGAACTGAGTGGGGACTGACTCGAGACCAATTAGCCCAACCAATTTTTCAAATGAAAAATGTATCCCCTGTCTTGGGCGCTGCCCTGATCCTGGCACTGCTTGGGCAGTCTGGGCTCCCTCACACTGATTGCTATAAGCCCCACTTCTACCCGCAGTGGTGACTGGGGGCCCCCTGGATGGGCCCTACCGGCTCAAGCAGTTCCATTTCCACTGGGGCAAGAAGCACAACGTGGGCTCGGAGCACACAGTGGATGGCAAGTCATTCCCCTGCGAGGTAACGGCTGTCCTCCACAGGAATGCCTGGACTGCTTGGGGAAGGAGTGGGGGAATGGATAGTCAGGGGTTTGGTGGCTGCCTGGTGTGGGGCTCTGGGGTGAGTGAGGAGGAGCACCCAGGGGCCTTTGGGAGAGACATCCTCCACCTACCCCCAGCACAGAGTCTTCCTCCTGAACTTTGCCCGCTGCTGTCCTGGTGTCCAGAAGGAATTTTCTGAGGGACAAATTCAGGCCCTTACTAACAAACCTTCAAGGACTGAGCTTAGCATTCCAGGCCCCGTATGAACTGGCCTTGCAGGGCCTCACCTTCCCCCAGCCTCTCCCTACACTGCCCTGCAGGTGGTGAATCCTCTGCTGCCCACACCGGGCTCTTTTATACCTGCAGGCTTTTGCCCGTACCTCCAGGTATTCCACCTGGAGTTCCTTTCCCCCAGGGTTCCATTTGATAACCTCCTAATTATTCTTTGGATTTAGTGTAATGCCGTCCTCAGGGAGTGTCAGGATGGCCATTAGCTATTTCATAGTTCATGGTGGGCAGGGCCTGAACCAGATTCCTCTTTGGTTCCCTGGGGCTCAGGAAAGGGTTGGGCCCAGAGCAGGGTAGATGCAATGTGTGCCATCTGAGGGCTCCTGGCAGCCACTTGGGATGCTAGGCCTAGGAGGTCCAACAGCCCGTGCCTCCTACAGAGGGGCCTGGAGTCTGATGGGAGTGAGGGAAGCCTGGCTCTGAGCTCCCGTGGCCCCTGGGAGGTGCTGAGCCCTGGCCTGGCCTGTTGTTAAATCTGTAGCTGCACCTGGTTCATTGGAATGCCAGGAAGTACAGCACCTTTGGGGAGGCGGCCTCAGCACCTGATGGCCTGGCTGTGGTTGGTGTCTTCTTGGAGGTGAGGGGGCTTTACCCAGGACCAGGAGGGATGTGGGAGGCCTGGTACTACCCCTGGTGCCAGAACACACTGGTACTGGGCTCACACTGCCCTCTCCATGACAGATGGGGGATGAGCACCCCAGCATGAACCGCCTGACAGATGCACTCTACATGGTTCGGTTTAAGGTGAGACCAGGGTCCATGCCCCTGACCTAGAGCAGCTGGTGGGAGGGAGGAAGAGGCTACAGGAAGGAGTGGACACATGCACTCTTCCATTCTGGCAGCAAACCCTCACTGAGATGAAGGGGGCAGGGCAGCAACTGCAGACTCCTCTTCACCAGGGTCAGTGGCCCCCAGGAGTGGCACAAGTGCAGACTCAGTAGCCTTGTCTGGTTATAGGATTGATAAGATACTTGTCACATTTGTTAATGGTTGTCTGGCAGCACCACTAAGGGCCACTGAAAGCAAGGGAGAAGCCTTGGTGGCCAAAGAGTTCCTGGAGCTGCAACTTTTACATACACACACACATGGGTGGATGGGGCCCGGCCCCGGCTGAGAGATGGCATCTGGGATCACAGACATTTGTCCCCAGTTTGCATCAGTGAGCCAAGGTGAAGCCTAGATTCTCTGACAGAAATGGGGGGCGGGGCTGCTGGTCTGGTCCTGGTGGGAGGTCCATGCTGGTTCCTGGGTTCCCTACCCTGCTGCAGGGCACCAAGGCCCAGTTCACCTGCTTCAACGCCAAGTGTCTGCTGCCTGCCAGCCGGCACTACTGGACCTACCCAGGCTCCCTGACGACTCCCCCGCTAAGTGAGAGCGTCACCTGGATTGTGCTCCGAGAGCCCATCAGCATCTCTGAAAGGCAGGTGAGTCCTCCAGGCAGAGCATCAGGTTGGGGGATATGGCAGTCAGGGTCCACCGCAGGCAGTGTGACTCTCCCACCTAGCAACCCACAGCCTGTGGTCCCACCACTGAGGATCCCATCTTGTGCAAATAAATGTCTAGTTTCTTAGATGGGAGTTAGCTTGATTGACAGTCATGAGGACCTGGACACAAGCTGGGAGGGGAGATTCCTGGATTCTGGGACTATGCCTACTGTGTTAGAATCTGATGCTGCATTTTCTGACCTCTTAGCTGGATGGGATTGGAGCTAGAACTAGGTGGAACAGGGTCCAGATTCAGAGGCCCTTTAGTGAGTAAATAACTGAGGTTGGGATCCCAGGAGAGAATGAGTAGGGGAGGCTGGGGACAAGAAGAGGAAGGGGCAGAGCAACTGGGCAGGACACGCCAGATGCCGGGTCTGGGATCGGAGGGAACCATAGCACCCCGTCCCGCCCTGAGTCTCTCTTTTGCCTCCTCAAGATGGAGAAGTTTCGGAGCCTGCTTTTCACCTCAGAGGATGACGAGAGGATCCACATGGTGAACAACTTCCGGCCACCGCAGCCACTGATGGGCCGTTTGGTCAAGGCCTCCTTCCGGGCCTGAGCAGCCTGGCTGCCCGGCCAACCACCAAGGCATCATCTTCCCAAGGGCTTCCTCATCAGCAGACACCAAACCATCTGAGGCTCTCTGCCTGGGGGTTTCTATGGCGCCCCCATCAGCTGGCTTGCTCCTCGGCTACCCTACAGGCTTCTTGATAGGATCCTTGAGTCAGGGAACACCCCTCAGCTGCTCTGGGAACAGGAAGGACAGGAGCTGAGCATGTTCCAAGCCTGGGGCTTCCTCTGCTTTCCAATATCCAAAGGTCCCTGGGAACCTCCTCTTGTCTTCTTCCCCACTGGCAGTGGCAGCAGCCTCACCCTGAGTTCTCACTGTGACGAACGAGACTGAGCTCTCTGAGGCAGGCAGCTGGCATTGCCAGGAAGACTCAAGCAATAATTATAGGTGGGCAGAGCTGCCCTCTTGGCATTACCTCTTCTGCAGGCTTCCGCCATGCACACACCTCACTGCCAGGCCATTAAAAACAGCACTCAGTCTGCTGGAAGTGACATGGCCTTCTCCCTCCAGCCACCTGCTGCTATGGGCAGGTACTGGCCACAGCTTATGTAGTATCTCGCCTCATCCCCACCCAGCTACCAAAGCCACCTACATGACGATCCATCCATGCAATGACTAATAAATTCATTCATCCTTGCAACGAATCCCCCTTGAGTGCCTGTGCTATTTCAAGTTCTGTTCTAGGCATTGGGGAGGCGATGATGGTGCCTCAAGCACAGTATGTTAGGAGGGACATGTGTACTGAGCAGGTGTTATGGAGAGGGCAGGGCAGGGGCTGTGGGGGCAGAGAAAAGGGGGAGCTTAACATCATCTGGTGAAGTAATTAAATTCCAAGGAAGAGAGAGGAGAATAACACATTCGAAGTGAGGGAAGAGCACATGTGCAAGCTCGGAAGTGAGAAAGCCCAGAGTCTGTGGGGCTGGAGCTCTGGGCCGAGGGCCTGAGACTCTATTCCAGGGCTACTGGGGAGTCATAAAGGGTCTGGGTAGAGGAGGGACAGAGCCAGACATGCAAAGAGGGGAGATACCTGTGAAGTGTGGATGAGTGGGCAGGAATGGACGGCATCGGGGCAGAGGCGGTGGCCTGTGGCCAGGAAGGAGACGGGGTGGTGGAGGTGGGAAGCAGGGGGCTGAATGAGAGATTTAGGAGATGGAGCTTACAAGGCAGCATTTGGCTATCTGTGAGGGAGAGGGGAGCGTGGGAAGTGTCCCTGGGCAGAGAGTGGGGCCTCTCCCTGGGGAGAGATGGGCTGGGGACCCTGGGGAGGAGCTGACCAGGGCGGATGCACAGCATTTGCAGGCCCCTGGAGGGGAGGATAAGGAGGCAGTGGAATGGTCAGGTCTGAGCTGAGGAGGGAGTGGAGGGTGGCGGGTTGCTCTGGAGCATCTCAATTCAAGGTGGTGGGTGAAAGAGGGGACCCAGGGTGGCTGGAGGACAGCCTTGCCCACGCAGGCATTCTTGGCCTGATACAGAGGCATTTTCTCTCTACCTGTTGCAGGTGACCATGAGAAGGGTGGTGCCTGGAAGATGGTGTTTTTGCTCAGCTTGGGCACAGGTAGCATGAGGGAAGTAATGCTGGTAATCCTACCTCTGAAGGTAGGCAAAGGGGCTGGGGAAGATGTCTGGCTGTTTTATGATCCCAGAATGGTAATTATCCGCATTTTATAGATGAGGATGACGAGGCTGGCAGAGGTTAAGTAGGCAAGTGGCAGAGCAGGATTTGAACCTGAAACTGTCCAATAACTCTCCTGTTCTATGCCACAGCAATTGAATCCAAGGTCAGGATCAGGGGATGGGCACGGTGGTGGTCACATGGGGGTGGTATAACAGACTCGATGCTACAGGTCCTGCCAGGGACTTTGGTCAGCCTCTTGCCCGAATGGTGGCACCACAGTCCTGGCACCACAAAGGACTTAAGAAGTGGGAGCTTGTTTTGTAATAATTATCCTGAGCCTGCCAAGAATCGTCACTCCCTAAACACTTTCCCTTAATTTATTTTTAAATCCAAACTATTTTAAAACCAAAAGTGGCCTCCTTATGTTGTAAGCACAGCCCCAGCTTTGACCCTGTAATATCCAAACGAGATGCCCCAAATGGATCCCAAATGCCTCCCGCAAACCTGACCTCAAGGGACCCGGGCCTAGACTCTGAATCTTCATTCGAGGCCAGGCTGCTTCCTGGTAGTGATGCTTTGGGGAGCCCAAGACAAGATGGGCTCTGCCTGCTCCCAAGATTCCAGAGAGACCATCTCTGGGGAGCCCTGGCAGGTCTCAAAGGGACCTAGGTTGGGGCCCCAGGCCAGTGGTTATAGCGTGCCCTACTAGTATGTATCCAGACCCTGGGCAAAGGATTTGCCCCCAGAGAAGCCAGGCCCTGGACCCCAGAGCAAGAGTCTCCATTCTCTGGGTAGGCCTCTGGAGATGGGGTGGCTGTGAAGACCCCGGGAATCGAACCTGGGACCTTTAGGTTTATGGGATGACGCTCTAACCAACTAAGCCACACTGGCCAGGGCTAGTGACTCTAAAAGGTAAAAAGAAGCGAGTATACTTAATTTGAATAACATATCTTATTTAACTCAATTATATCTAAAGTATATTATCATTTTAACACATCATCAACATAAAAAATTAAAGAAGTATTTCACATTTTTTGCATTAAATTTTTGGAATCCAGTACATATTTTATACTTATAACACATCCTGATTCAGAATCGCTACATTTGTAGTGCCAAGACCACGCGTGACCAGTGGCTACCATTTTGGATACTGCAGCCTGAAATGACATCACCCCTTGCAGGGCCATCTGCCAGCAAGGTGTCCAGGCAGTCTCCCCGAGTGGGCCTGCAGCCAGGCAAGGTGGTAGCAGGAATGAGTCATATCTGGTCCAAACCTCTGTCCTCCACAAGGGCAGCCTCAGAACATTTGATGCCAACTTGGCTCCCTCATTCCTTCTCTAAGAAACCTCCCGAATCCCCACCTCACTCCAGTCTGGCTGGCCCTGCCCCAGGCCACCCAGCAGGACCTTTGCTCTTCCTCCAGGAGAAAGGCCAAGGCCCTAAGAGACTGTCAAGAATGGTGGAAGGTGATAGTATCCCTGAGAAGAGTCCTGACTTGGTTGAAGAGACTTGATTAGTCTGGGAGGGCTTCCTGGAAGAGGTAGCCAAGGCAAAGTACAGTTGACCCTTGAATAACATGGGTTTGAACTGCATGGATCCACTAACACACAGATATTTCTCAGTAAATGTTTTAAGTGTGTTTTCCTTATGATTTCCTTAATAACAGTTTCTTTCCTCTAGCTTACTTTATTGTAAGAATACAGTATATAAAACATATGGCATACAATATATGTACTAATCGACTGTTTATGTTATCGGTAAGGCTTCTGGTTAACAGTAAGCTATTAGTAGTTTAACTTTTGGGGAAATCAAAAGTTATACATGAATTGTTGGCTGCATGGGGCGGTTTGCACCCCTAACCCCATGTTGTTCAAGGGTGAACTGTAGCCGACATCCCAGCAGAGGCACAGGAGTCTTGACAGCTCCTGGGAACATTTACCAGACAGAGGGAGGAAGGCCTGACTCTCCCCCCCAGCATGTATGTATCTCCCCCAGCATGGATGGACAAAGGGGGGATGTGTGACTGGAGACACACGGATCCCCAGGCTCTGGAGGCATCAGTCACCAGGCAGAAGTGTACCTTTCCACCCAGGGGTCACGGGGAGCCACTGGAAATCTGGAGCAGGGGCCGAGGGCCCCCTGGAACAGGAGAGGAGTCTTTCTCTGAAGCTCAGAAAGCACTAGGCATCCCTTGGCCCAAATCCACCTTCCAATGCAGGCAAATTCTGGCAGGTGCAACTCATTCGCTCCCCCTGGCCCTGTGGTAGGGACACAAGCCTGGGTCCTGGCATTTCCTGGCTTGGCAGTCTGTGAGTCTAATCTCAATCCCTCCAGCTGCAACCGGACCATTTTTGTCTTCTGGGGCATGGCAGGGTGAGCGGGTGGCTCTTTATTCCCACTGAGCTGCTGTCTTGGGACAAGCACTGTGGGAAAGGCATGGGGACACAGTGGCCCCAGGGTCACATGGGCTCCTAGGGATCCCTCAGGTTTTCAGGAGGGGGCTCTTTCTCCTCCTCCTCCTCCTCTCTCAGCACCTGCTCTGCGTGATAAGCCCTTGGTTGCCTTGGGCACAGGTGCCTCCAGAGGGCACTGCCCTGTCTCCCCAGTTACCCAGGCCTCCTGGGAAACTGGGGAGTGGGTCCTTGCTGCTGCCGCTGCTCCTGAGTATTCAGGAACAGGGTTTGGGAAGTGGGGAGGGTACAACTGTTTCAGCCAGAGGAAGCCACAGCAGGGATCCATCAATGAGCGGGCCAGGGAATCCTGGAGCACCCAAGCTGAAAGAGTTCCGTGACGCCACTCTACAGGTAGACCAGCTGAGGCTCAAAGAGGGAACAGTGTCTACCAGAGTGGCTTGGTGGGAGACCCAGAATTTATGACTCCTGGTTCAGCGCTCTTCTCTCATCAGGAGAGCCTTACATATCAAAGAAACCCCGTGCCGAATAATGCCATCATGGAACCTGAACTCCTATCGACTGAGCTTCCGTGCTCAGTTAAGACGAGGTCCCCGATGAAATGCAAGTTCTACTGGGAGGGGTATACACCTTTAGGGGGAATGATTTTGTCACCTCCCATTCAGTCTGCTACATGACCTCTTCTCTTGGCCTCAATTTCTCCATCTATAAAATGGTCTATGGGGGCCAAAAGTAGGACTTCATGAGGGAGGGAAGGCAGGTTCCCAGAAGAAGAGTCAGGCTGTGACAGAGTTTGGGCGTAGGCAGCTTCGGATATCAGGATGTGGGTTACCCCGGGTGTCTCCTAAAGTCAAAGGGGCCATAGTGCTGGACCTAAACTGACAGGGACAGATGACTAGAAGAGCCTCCTGACCCCCTGGCCTTTGCCCATCAGTGTGACAGGAAAATAACTGGGCTGCATTTCCTACCAGCCCAATGTAATGGGGGCTCAGAGCTAGATTTAACTGATGTATAGAAAACAAAGACATCCCCAGTGTTTCATGTAACCAAGTCCATGATCTATGATCCACACAGAACGACAATGTCTGTACTTTTTAGAAGTCAGTGCCTGGAAATGCTTTCTCTCCTAGGGCAGCAAGATCTGGTGGTATAATTTCCAGAACATGCGGGTGAGCTGAAAAGATATTCTGGGGACAACCAAGTCTTTGAAACACTGGCCCCAGTGCTAAATCCAGAAGCCTGTGGTTTCCAGGGGCAGCAGAGGGGATTGGGAGGAGAGCTCCTCACCCTGTGTGGCTTGCTAGGTACAGAGCTGCTCACACAGGTCCTTTGACCCCGGCTTGGGGGCAGGGGACTGAGTGCCAACCTGGCTGCTTTAGCTGGCACTGGTGGAGGCTCCAGCAACTCAGCTAGGAACTCAAGTCAGGGCAGTGGCAACCAGCTTTATAGTTGTTGGGGCGCCTGCCTCCACCTCAGTGCCCTTTGAGGTCAGAGGTAATGCTGAGAAAAGAAACTCCGGTGTCTGGCAGCAGTCAAGAGCTGACCACCCTCAGCCAGTTCACTGAGCCCTGCTGTAAGCTAAGACCCCTAGAGATGAATCCCCAGCACCCATGGCACACAAGACCTAGCCATGTCAGGAGATGTCACACTTGGGCTCGTTTTTCCTGCCCCACTTCACACTGACACCTGGGAGAACTGGGGGTACAGTCATGGAAACAGAGAAAGGAAGGGCCAACATTTAGGGTTCCACTCTCAGACCCAGAGCCCCTCACCCCAAAGCCTTTAGCATGATTTCAGACTTATGGAAACATTGAAAAAAGTAACAGTGAATACCTACAGGTTGGTCACCAAGACTTCCTATTTCATCACATCCGTTCTCTCTCTTTCTCTTTTCACATATATCCATCTTTTTGAACTGTTTGAGAATAAACTGCAGCCGTGATAGCTTTTTACCTCCAAATACTTCGGTGGTTTTTCCTGAAAACAAAGGTACTCTCTTACATAAACAGTCCAAGAATCGGAATCAGAAAATTAGCATTGCTACACTACTATTATCTAGTCAGCACACCTAATAAAGATTTGGCCAATTGTCCCTTAATGCCTTTTGTAACCCCAATAAACTACATGGTCAGGCCTTGCACTCAGCTGTCCAGTCCCTCCAGTCTCCTTTTCTCTGAGGTCCTCAGTCTTACTCTGTCTTTCCCGACACTGATGTGGGTGGAGAGTACAGGCCAGTGGGTAGTAGAATGTCCCTCGGTTGCTTTTGTCAGCTGTTTCCTCGTGAACAGATGCTGGTCATGAACTTTTTGTAGAAACATCACCCAAATGACCCTGTGTTGTCTTCAGACACGTGATATTGATTTGTCCCATTGTTAACAATGTTAACTTTGCTTTTTGGTTTGGGGGTTTCAGAATTGAAGCATAACAGATACACAGAAAATGCACACACTCAGTGAACTTTCACAGTCTGGACGTACCTGCGGAATCAGCACCCAGATCAGCAAAAGTGCATTGCTAGCACCCCCAAACCCTTGTGTTCTCATAAGTTCTTACCTCCCAAGAGTAACCACCAACCTGACTTCTAATAGTGTAAATTACATTCATTAGTTTCAAACTTCAAATAAATGAAATAATTCATTTCAGAATCCTCCTTAGTGTCTGGCTTGTTTACTCACATTATGTTTGTGAGATTCTCAGAGCCGACTTTCTATAATCAGTGCAATGCCTCTCATTATAAGCCTTCAATGACAATTAAATAAAATATAATTCATCCATACATAATTTCAAAAATTAATACCTTAGTGGTAACATAAAAGAGAATTATTTATACTACAGAATAAATCATATTTATGTATACAAATAGGTAATTTTTAATAAAGCAATACACACGTCAGGACATAAATCCCAGGGCACAAGGACACTGAAAATGGGATGAGCCAGCTAAGATGGAGGCGTAGGTAGACGCACTGTGCCTCCTCGTACAACCAAAAGAAGGACAACAACAAATTTAAAAACAAAAACAACCAGAACTGACAGAAAATTGAACTGTATGGAAGTCTGACAACCAAGGAGTTAAAGAAGAAACATTCATCCGGACCGGTAGGAGGGGCAGAGACAGGCAGAAGAGCGGAGAAGACTCAAGGCAAGGAGGCAGCTGGCGGACGGCAGTGTGGGGGGGTCCCATATTCGCGAGCAGATAAACCTGGAGTAACAACTGGGGAGTGAGACGGACCGCCCAAACCAGGGTCCCAACATGAAGAAATAAAGCCTCAAAACACCAATTGGAAACACCTGTGGGGGTTGAGGTGCTGGGAGAGACTCCCAGCCTCACAGGAGAGTTTGTTGGAGAGACCCACAGGGTCCTAGAATGTACACAAGCCCACCCTCCTGGGAATTAGCACCAGAAGGGCCCAATTTGCCTGTGGGAAGCAGAGGAAGTGACTGAAATCCGGCAGAGAGTAAAGCAAGCAGCACTGTTCCTTCTTGGACCCCTCCCCCACATATAGCGTCACAACACAGCAACATGGGTTGCCCCACCCTGGTGAATACCTAAGGCTCCGCCCCTTACTACGTAACAGGCATGCCAAGACCAAAAAAAAAAAAAAAGGCCTAAATGAAAGATCAGATCAAAGCTCCAGAAAAAAACACAACTAAGCAACAAAGAGATAGCCAACCTATCAGATGCACAGTTCAAAACGCTGGTAATCAGGATGCTCACAGAATTGGTTGAATATGGTCCCAAATTTGATGAAAAAAATGAAGGCTATGCTAAGTGAAATAAAGGAAACTGCACAGGGAACCAGCACTGACAGGAAGGAAACTAGGACTCATATCAACTATGTGGATCAGAAGGAAGAAAGAAACATTCAACTAGAACAGAATGAAGAAACAAGAATTCAAAAAAAATGAGGAAAGGCTTAGGAACCTCCAGGACATCTTGAAACATTTCAACATCTGAATTATAGGGGTACCAGAAGGGGAAGAGGAACAGGCATGAGTAGAAAAATTATTTGAACAAAAAATAAAGGAGAACTTCCCCAATCTGGCAAAGGAAATAGACTTCCAGGAAATCCAGGAAGCTCAGAGGGTCCCAAAGAAGGTGGATCCAAAGAGGAACACATCAAGGCACATCATAATTATATTAGCCAAGATTAAAATGAAGGAGAGAATTCTAGAAGCAGCAAGAGATAAGGGGACAGTCACCTACAAAGGAGTTCCCATTAGACTGTCAGCTGATTTCTCAAAAAAGACCTTACAGGCAAGAAGGGGCTGGAAAGAGGTATTCCAAGTCATGAAAGGCAAGGACCTACATCCAAGATTGCTCTATCCAGCAAAGCTTTCATTTAGAATGGAAGGGCAGATAAAGTGCTTCCCAGATAAGGTCAAGTTAAAGGAGTGCATCATCATCAAGCCCTTATTATATGAAATGTTAAAGGGACTTACCTAAGAAAAAGAAGATAAAAAACATAAACAGTAAAATGACACTGAATTCACAGTTATTAACAAAAACAAAAACAAACTAAGCAAAGAACTAGAACAGGAACAGAATCACAGAAATGGAGGTCACATGGAGGGTTGTCAGTAAGCGGGTAGAAAGGAGAGGGGGGAAAAGGTACAGAGAATAAGTAGCATAAATGGTAGGTAGAAGATAGGGGGAGGTTAAGAATAGTATAGGAAATGGAGAAGCAAAAAAAACATGTATATGACTCATGGGCATGAACTAAAGGTGGGGGATGCAGGTGGGAGGGGGTGTGCAGGGTAGAGGGGAATAAAGGAGGGGAATAGGACAACTGTAATTGCATAATCAATAAAATACATTTTAAAAAAGATGGGATGAGGTTTTCTGACTTTCATACCCACGTACAGAAACCCCACCTGTAACATGACCACTGCAAACACGTTCAGGCAGAGGAACGTGAGTATTGTTGCCTTCATGGCATCATTTTCCCAGATGGTGAATGACTCCTAGGTGGTGTAAAATTTCAAACAACACAAAGTACATTAATTTGCTATGTACTAAAACTGTGCAAGCGTTACTTTGGGTTTGCAAATCACACAGAACAAGGTTGTAGGTTTGCATGAAGACAAACAAATTCTATGCCTTAGAAAGTGGGGCAGGATCCTTTGTTGTGTGAAACTGCTCTGTAGGACTCCTAGCACCCCTGGAAATTCCCAACTGACAGCACCCAATACCCCAAATGTTTTTCCAGTGGTACCATAAGTCAAAGTAATGAGAGGAGAGGCCACCTGGGTGGATCAAAGAACCAAAGGTGTTGGGCACTTGAGGAGGGTGCAGGATGGAGGGTTGAACATAGCCTGAAGAAAGTGGGGTCTCAGGGGAGAGCACTAAGGTGGGGCCTCCTGGTGGCCAGTTTCTGGAGTAGCAGGCTGGCATCTGAAGCTAGAGGGTTGGGAACCTTACGTGGACCTTGCTGCCCATCACCCAGCTCCTCTCCAGGGGATGCCACCAAGACCTACACTTTCCTGGGCTCTGCATGGACAATAGACAGCAGGGGCCCTGTCAACCACAGCCCCTATGGGAACCTCCATGGGCTGAAAACACACCTAAGCCATACACTGAAAGGATTATGGGGCCGTGACATAATAAAAATAATACTCAACTGACAGGTAACTATAAAGAAGGTAAGCATAGTTCTGATTTCTCTCAACATGCTTTTATTTTAATAAAATAATGAATAACAAATTATTTCAAAGCACCTTCCTTTCTTTGTGCCCCTCAGAACATACTTCCATGTGAATATGGGGTGACCCGCCAGCAAACACAACCCACAGACTAATTGACTCATTTTAGCAGACCCAAGACCTCTCTTTAGAGGTGGGTACCCTTCTTATCCCTATTTTGCCGATGAGATATGGAGGATCAGATAGATGAAAACAAGCTTCATAGCAGGAGTTGTGTGTGTGGGGGGGGGGGGGGGGCCAGGACTGGCCTACCTTAGAGTCAAGCCTGAGCCACCACTCCCTTAAGGTATTTGTAGGCCTATTCCCCTCTCCTCCACTGGCAGTGCTAGTTTCTAATGTTAGTGCTAAGCACTGTGGAGGGACACACACACACACATACACACACACACACACACAAACACTCACTCCTTCCACCAGCTCTGGGAAGTGAGATGCTCATGTACTTCTTGCAGTGTGTTTACGCCCCCTCGTGGCCATGTGTGAAGCTGTAGTCTGGTCTCTGGTCCACCTTAGCCAGCCAGCCAGCAGCAGCAGCAGGGGCTCAGCCCAGCAGTACTGGGAAAGAATTTGCTCAGGTTATTGATTGACAAAATAACTGAATATTTTTGCTGTTGTTTGTGATCCTGCCTTGCTGGCACAGTAAACTCTTGCTTCCTGTTGTCCAGGGCTACAGCCCTGGGTCAAGCAGGGAGCTGGTCAGTAACTATCAGCGCCACTGGGCTCCTGGACAAAGGGCAGGCACAGAGGGCTGGGGCCATGGCCACACCACTCCCCAGAGTTATAGAGGATGTAGGAAGGCATTTCAGGCCAGGGAACAGCAGGAGCAAAGGCTTGGAGGTAGTTATAAGAAACTGAAGGCTAGTGTGGGGGGGGGAGCTGAATTAGCTCTTGTTGGTGTGGCTCAGTGGATTGAGCGCCGGCCTGTGAACTGAAATATTGTCGGTTTGATTTCCAGTCAGGGTACCTGCCTGGGTTTTGGGCCAGGTCCCCAGTTGAGGGAGTGAGAGAGGCAACCAGTGATGTTCTCTCACACATCAATGCTTCTTTCCCTGTGTCCCTTCCTTCTCCCTCTCTAAAAATTGTCCTTTTTTTTAAAAAAAAAAAAAAAAGACTGAATTAAATTTAACCCAGTCTCCACCATAGCCTGGGGACTGGGGGTGCCCTGATTACAGTCACAGCTCCCAGTCCTTCAGACCAAAATAGCTCCTGAGCCAAGAAAAAGAGGACAGCTTCGCCTTAACACTCCCCACGTACTTCCCCCTGCCCCCATTATGTAGCCACTGTACAGCCTGGGGGAGGTGTCTGCTCCCACAACATACATGGAAATGGCTGCCCCTCTGTAGCAGATGAAGAAACAGAGGCTCTAAATTTGGCTGAGGTCCCTTGCCCAAGTCATGTATTCAGTAGTGGCAGTTGGGGTTCTCGTGCCTGCCTGACCCAAGGCCCAGCCTCTGAAACCGCCACATTACACGGGTGTCCTGTGTCAGAAGAGGTGTTTGCCTTGGAAAAGCAGATATGAAAATTTTCAGAGGCTAGGCACTTTGTAAATGAGCCCCAAAGCCACAGTGCCACCCTGGTAGCCCTCAGTGAGAAAGAAAAAAATACCCAGTTCATGAATTCTCAGGCTTCTACAAGAAGTGAGGTGTGCAGGTGGAGGACCCGACTGTCATTACTGGCTGCTTAAATTATATTTGGTTTTCCCTGAGTGTGTTTGAAATGCACTAGCCCTGTGTGCCCACGGGGGAAAAGGTTCAGACAAATGAATACATGGTTAGCACCCATGGTGATGAAGGCCCTATTTAAATTATAATCTTTTAGGGACTTCCAGCCAAGATGGAGGCATATGTGGAAACATTATGCCTCCTCGCACAACCAAGTTTAAAGACAACAAAGTTTTAGTAACAAAAACGCAACCAAAACATGGAAAATCGAACTGTACCGAAGTCCGACGACAACGAACCATTCGGTTAGACCAGTAAGCGGGGTGGAGTCAGTGGCTGGTGGAGCAGGTCATGCAGAAAAAAGTGGCAGGACCAGACCAACCTCGATGCGCAGGCAGATCCCAGGTGTGAGGTGGCAATAGGTGGACCTAGTGGGGGCACGAGGCGGCTGGCTGACCACGGTTACACATTCGCGCCCAGATAAACCAGGCAAAGGAGAGAGCAGTGAGACAGACCGCACAGGCTAGGGCCCCAGCGACAAGAGTTAAAGCCTAAAAGCGCCAATTGGAAAAACTTTTGGGGTCGAAGTGCTGGGAGAAGCTCCCAGGCTCACAGAGAGTTTGTTGGAGAGGCCCACAGAGTCCTGGAGGGTGCACAGGCCCACACACCTGGGAGCTGACACCAGGGGGGCCTGATTTGCTTGCGGGAAGCAGCAGAGGGGACTGAGGTCTGAGAGAGAGCAGAACAAACGCCATTGCCCCTCTCTGACCTCGCCCCCACATAAGCGTCACAACCCAGCGACCTGGGTTGCCCTGCCCCGGTGAACATCTAAAGCTCCACCCCTCATACCTAACAGGCACAAATAGACCAAGTCATTATGGCTCACACAGAAGAACAAATCAAAGCCCCAAAGCCAATACTTTAAAGCAACAAAGAGATAGCCAACCTATCAGATGCATAGTTCAAAACACTGGTGATCAGGATGCTCACAGTACTGGTTGATTTTTAGTCACAATAGAGGAACAAATAAAGGCTAAACTAATTGAAATGAAGGGAAATGCACAGGAAACCAATAGTAATGGAAAGGAAACTGGGACTCAAATCAAGGGAGTAGACCAGAAAAAAAAAAATGACCGAACAGAAAAGAATGAAGAAACAAGAATTCAAAAAAATGAGGAGAGGCTTAGGAACCTCCAGGACATCTTTAAACACTCCAACATCTGAATTATAGGGTTTCCTCCAACACCAGAAGGGAAGAGGAATAGCCACGAGTGGAAAACTTATTTGAACAAAAAATATAGGAGGTTTCCTTTCCCCAGTCTGGCAAAGGAAATAGACTTCCAGGAAATCCAGGAAGCTCAGAGAGTCCCAAAGAACTTGGACCCAAGAAGGAACACACCAAGGCACATCATAATTACATTACCCAAGATTAAAATCAAGGAGAGAATCCTAGAAGCAGCAAGAGATAAGGAGACAGTCACCTACAAAGGAGTTCCCATCAGACTGTCAGCTGATTTCTCAAAAGAGACCTTCCAGGCAAGAAGGGGCTGGAAAGAAGTATTCCAAGTCATGAAATCTAAAGACCTACAACCAAGATTGCTCTATCCAGCAAAGCTTTCATTTAGAATGGAAGGGCAGATAAAGTGCTTCTCAGATAAGATCAAATTCGAGGAGTTCATCATCACCAAGCCCTTATTATATGAAATGTTAAAGGGACTTATCTAAGAAAAAGAAGATAAAAAAGTAGAACAGTGAAAGGACAGCAAACTCACAGTTATTAAGAAACACGCCTGGGGGACTTCCGCCAAGATGGAGGTATAGGTGGATGTGCCGTGCCTTCTCACACAACCAAGTTTAGGGACAATTAAATATTAGCAACACAAAACACAGCCAGAACACGGAAAATTGAACTTTTCGGAAGTCCGTTAACAACAAATTCTGCAGCCTGACCGGTAAGGGGCGAAACCAGTGGCTGGTGGAGTGGGATTGTACAGGAGGACTCGGTCAGACGGGCTCAGGCGCGGAATCCAGACGCGGAATCCAGGCGCAGGGTTGGACCCAGTGAGCGACCAAGCGAGTGACCAGGCGAGCGACCGCGGAGGAGACAGCAGGGAAGCGGTGCTGCGTGTTGACTGGGGTCGCCTATTTGTGCGAGAGTGGACAGGCGAGGGAGTGGGCGGTTGGACCGGGCCCGGCGTCCCCGCGGCAAGCGGCAGTAGAGGGCCCCGCCATTTCCCCACTCTGACCACGCCCCCACATACAGCGTCACAACCCAGCGACCGGGGAGTCCAAGGCGCCGCTTCTCATACTTAAAGGGCCCGAACAGACCAAAAATGTCGCAAATTCTCAAAATCCCTGAGCCCATAGACCTAAGCGATGAAGAAATGGCAAAACTCTCAGACGCACAGTTTAAAACACTGGTCATCAGGATCCTCACAGAACTGGTTGATTATAGCCACAAATTAGAGAAACATATGAAGGCGAAACTAATTGAAATGAATGGAATTGCACAGGACACCAATAGCGATGAAAAGGAAACTGGGACTCAAATCAATGGAGTGGACCAGAAGAAAGCAAATAATGGCCAAACAGAAAAGAGTCAAGAAGCAAGAATTCAAAGAAATGAGGAGAGTCTTAGGAACCTCCAGGACATCTTTAAACGCTCCAATATCCGAATTATAGGGGTACCAGAAAGGGGAAAGGCACAGCCACCAGTGGAAAACTTATTTGCACAAATAATAAAGAAAAATTTCCCCAATTTGGCAAAGGCAATAGACTTCCAGGAAATCCAGGAAGCTCAGAGAGTACCAAAGAACTTGGACCCAAGAAGGAACACACCAAGGCACATCATAATTACATTAGCCAAGATTAAAATGAAGGAGAGAATCCTAGAAGCAGCAAGAGCTAAGGGGACAGTCACCTACAAAGGAGTCCCCATCAGACTGTCAGCAGATTTCTCAAAAGAGACCTTACAGGCAAGAAGGGGCTGGAAAGAGGTATTCCAAGTCATGAAATCCAAAGACCTACAACCAAGATTGCTCTATCCAGCAAAACTTTCATTTAGAATGGAAGGACAGATAAGGTGCTTCTCAGATAAGATCAAATTCAAGGAGTTCATCATCACCAAGCCCTTATTATATATTATATGAAATGTTAAAGGGACTTATCTAAGAAAAAGAAGCTAAAGAAACATGAACAGTGAAAGGACAACAAACTCACAGTTATTAACAACCATACCTAAAACGAAAGCAAACTAAAAGGACAGCTAGATCAGGAGTGGAGACATAGAAATGAAGATCTCAAGGAGGGTTAGCAACAGGGGGAGTGGGAGGAGGAGATGGGGGGAGAAGGTACAGAAAATAAGTAGCATAGACAGTAGAAAGAAAATAGATGGGGGGGCAAGAATAGCATGGGAAATATAGAATCTAAAGGACTGGAGACACATGGTCATAAACTAAAGGGGGGTAATGGTGGGGATGGGGGGGTAGGGTAGAGGGGAATGAAGGGGGGACTAGAACAACTGTAACAGCATAATCAATTAAAAAAATAAAAATTAAAAAAAATAAAAAATAAAAAATAAAGAAACACGCCTAAAACAAAAGCAAATTAAGAGGACAGCTAGATCAGGAGTGGAACCATAGAAATGGAGATCACATGGAGGATTAGCAACAGGGGAGAAGGAGGAGGAGAAAGGGGGAGAAGGTACAGAGAATAAGTAGTATAGATGGTAGGTAGAAAATAGACCGGGGAGGGCAAGAATAGTATGGGAAATGTAGAATAAAGAACTTGTGACACATGGACATAAACTAAAGGGGGGAATGGTGGGGGAGGGGTGTGCAGGGTGGAGGGGAATGAAGGGGGGAATGGAACAACTGTAATGGCATAATCAATAAAATATATTAAAAAGAAAAAAGAAATTATAGTCTTTACTTAAATATGGCTTAACAAAAACACAGTATGGTGAGGAAGTACCTGTCTTCCCTGGAGGAGTGTACAGGAGCTCTTTTTCTGGATTTGGAGAAACCCAAACTGATCCCTCAGGCTGTTAAATGTGGATAAGAAGCTTCTAGGTCAGTGCCCGGGCTGTGAGTCCAGAGAGCAGGGTCCAGACTGCTCTCAGTCACAAGCTTAAAAGTGGACCCCAGGGAACCTGGGGAAGTCAGTTCAGATCTCTGGATTCTATTTTGCTCTTCAAAGAATAGATATATAGTCATCTCACAGAGTCATGTGTTCTGCCAGATGCGACTGGATTTTATAGCAAAAAAAAAAGTTCATAGTGAAATGGTTGGCACTGCTGCAATAAATTTGGGCGAATTCCTTTCACTTAATGATTTGTCAGTGCCTTGGTTAAACTCGTGTTCATTGTGAACCGTCCCCCAGTGCTGGGTGGTAGGGATGTGCCCTTTTCCCTCAGAACATTTTCTGGAGTCATAGTCTAGGGAACACACTTTAGGATAGATGGGGTGAGATGCTCTCTCCTGTCCTTTCCTGCTCTGGTCCAAAGGTTGGAGATGAGACAGGCAGCCTGGGCCATCAAATCTAAGCCCTCGCCTTGGCCCACAAGGTCAGAACTTTTGTCCCTGCTGTTCTCCCTGTGGACAGGCTTCTCCCAGATATCGCCAGGGTCACACCCTAACTACCTTCAGATCTCTCTCCAAAGCCTATCTTATCACAGGAGCTTTCCCTGATTTCTCTGATAAAATAGTACCCTGGAGTTTTCCCAGCTGTCCTCTTCCCAGCTGCCTCCCTTGCCCCCAGAACAGTCCACAGCCTTCTCACGTGGACATGAAGGTGTGTAGCACAGACACTGTTGGAGTTTTCCTGATTATTAAGTTCATGCTGCGTGTTGACAAGATTTTTTTAAGAAAATGGAAAGGGGAAGAACCACTGTTCCTACAGAGTTCCATGACCCAGAGCAAAGCACTGTCAACTGCTGTCACGTGTCCTACTAAACTTTGCTCGTAAAGAGGCATGCACAAAGGGCAGGGAGGAGGAGAAGAAATGCACAAATAAATAATTGTCATTAGTATCGAAAGGCCCTTCTCTTCTTTGTTCAGTCTGTTCTTTCCATCTAATGTTCTATCCTGGCCAGTAGCTCCTTCCGGGCCTGTGGCAGTCTGTTAGGTACTGGGAGCCACTGCTCAGGCCAAGGTGCTAGCACTTCACTGCCCCCACCCCCAACCCCTGCATCCAGCCCAGGGTGTCCACAGGGACCCTCTTGGAGTTGCTCCTGGGCCTGAAACAGGAGCCCCAAGCACATGAAGTGGGGCCTCCCCAGGAGGGACTCAGAAAGGCCACTGGGCACTCAAAATTTCCTGGAGAATTACATTCACAGGGAAACACAGCCTGTGCCATGATACCCATTGCTTGTTGCTCAAGCCTATGATGTGCCCACACTTCTGGGGGCTCCCTCCCAACTTCTTCTTGCCCCCTTTTCCCCACACCAGACCCCCAGAGCTGTTTTACTCCTCTCCAAATTTACTTTCAGGAAAGAATGAGTCACTGGCAACTTGGAGTGCGAATGGCAGCTACAAGGCCCACACAGATGCCCATCTCAAGTGGGTCTAGTTATATAAGATATACCAGATGGAGCAATGTATATGCATGTTTAATGTAGAAAATTTATAATGCTTACCTTTGACTCTCTAAGATAAATTAAAAGAAGTAGAATTAGTGGATCAAAGATCTGTCCAGCCCTGGCAGGTGGCTCAGTTGATTGAGTATCATCCCATACACCAAAAGGGTCATGGGTTCAGTACCCAGTCAGGTCACATACCCAGGTTGCCTGTTCAGTCCCCAGCTGGGGTGCATATGGGAGGCAACCAATGGATGTTTTTCTCTCATAATGTCTCTCTAAGATCAATAAATACATCCTCAAGTGAGGATTTAAAAACAAAAGATCTGTCCATCAGGTAGCCTCAGTTCATTCCCCCACCCACCAAGATGGCAATGCTCACTCACCAACACTGGATATTAAGCATGTCTCGATATTTGTCAGGTTAATTGACAAGAATCAGCATCTCATTTTAATTCACATTTGTTTGGCTTTGAGTGAGGCTGACCACTTTAAAATATTTTCTCAGAAAAATGGCAGCTTGATCTGCTTGCTACTTTCCCTTTCCCTTTCTCAAGGCGAAATAAGTTCTTTCCCTTCTCTCTCTCTCTCTCTTTTTTTTTTTTTCTTTTCTTACTAGAGCTTGATTCAAAGAAGGCTTCAGAGACCAGATGGGGCTCCTGAGTTGGCCATCATGTATCTGGTGACTGAGCTGGTTATAGTTTTTAATCGAAAGTTCCAGTCCACACAAAATCCTCAAGGGTGAATTTTTACTTTGGAAGTGGCCCATATGTGGTAACTTAGGAAAACTCTGTGGTTTCAGATTTAGTGGAGTGATGTAATTTTTCTCAGCAAAGTGCGATAGGGTCAGCCATCTGTGTGTCTCTAGTAGTTGGCTCAGAGCCTGGCACATTGTAATTATTTATAAATGCCCACAGATTGAGTAATTAAATTGTGCCGTCTCTTCCTTAAGGATGACCCTCTGTAATCCCCAATGAACTATCTGTACAAAAACCATTTTGCACCCATAGATGAAAAAGAGGTGATGTAATAAATCATAAATTGCTAATCGGCCCAGTCACTCGAGGCACATAATCATCTAATCCTTGCTTTCTCCCATCCTCATGGATTCTTCCTTACATTCCCTCATTAATTTTAAATGCATAAAAGAAACTGTGAAATTGTTATTCTCAGAAACATTTGAGGTCTTGTTCCCTGACACACATCATCAGTGTAAGCTCAAATAAACTTATTAAAATTATCTACGGGTTTATATATTCTCACCTTGACACTCCCACTTATTTAGAATCCCTTAAAGTTATTTTTAGCTTTAGTCTGAAACAGCCCTCTCCAGATCCAGAAAGAGAGATCTTGTAAATTCTGACTTAATGGTAGTTATTCTGGAAAGGGCCAAAGGTGAGCGGCACTATAAATATCATACCAGGGGCAAGTCTGACAAGGTCCGTTTTATGGCTGGCATGTTCTTGGGTCCAGGTGGGCTGGCCAGGCTCCCCAAGTAAGCCAGCTTGTCTTCCGTCTGGAAGACACATTCTCAAGGTTCTAAGTGGCCTTTTCTGATTATCTCCTATTTTCCTTTGCTTCCGGAGGGGGCGGGTGGGGGGTTGCACCTGACTTACCACAGTTAGAAGAGTTCTATTAAGGCGGTTTATAAGGAAGAGTTCTATTAAGGCAGTTCATAAGGAATCCCACAATGGAAAGAACTGAAGGAGTATTTGGTGTCATGGTTCTCAGCCTTTCTCAAACTAGCAGCCACTAACTGTTAGGAGGGCCAGGGTAGGGTAAAATGGCAGTTGAACTACAACCCGGAAAAGACTGCTGACATCAAATCAGAAAGCGGAAAGGGCAGGCTTTATCCGCATAGCAATCTGAGCCCAAGGAGAACCACCAATGGTGTATTGCTGCTTTGTTCAAAGGGGACCAATCCCCAGCTCCCACGAAGAGAGCCAACCAAAATACCCCCCCCACACACACACACATTCCCCCACTTGGGCACGACTTCCCATGCCCCACTCTGTGGGCCGGGGAACCTTACCTGGGTGCGCAAACCCCAATAAAGCTCTATACTGCCTAACTTTGTGGCCGATTGGCATTTCTTCCTCAGCAGAGCCTAAGAAAACCTTTCACTAACCACTTGTGGGAACTGTCAGTGCTCAGGCCCATGTAATTGTCAGTTCAAGGCCCCATAGTCAGTGGAGAGCCAATGAAGGCTTTAGAAGAGGAATCTGAGTTCTAGAAGGGTCACTGCCTGCTCTGTAGAGGAAGGGTGGCTGAAGCCAAGTTGAAACTGGCAGTGTAGAGACCAGATGAGAGGCTTGGAATAGAGTGGTAGAGTAGATGGAGGCAAACGTTTGGATTGGAGAAATATATAGGAAATAAAATGAACAGTATTAGATAACTGGCCAGGGAATGGGATGGGGGTGAGGAAGAGGGAGGAGTGGAGGTGCCTCCCAAGCTTCTAGCTTGGCTCTTTAGGCAGATAATGGGACTATTACTGGGTGAGAGGAGGAGGGCAAAGTTGATTTGGCAGGAAGATGAGTTTGGGGTAAGTTGTATTTGCAGCACAAAGGGGCCTCCAGCGAGAGGTGTCCAGGTGGTTGAATATAAGGATGTGGTGTTGGGAGGAATCTGGACCAGTTAGCTCAGAAATGGAGAAGGGGGGGGGGGGGGTGTCCAACCTTTTGACCTGTCTGGGACACATTGGTAGAAGGGATGTCTTGGGCCACACACTAAATACACAAACACTAACAAAAACTGATGGGCAAAAATAAAAGGTTTTAAGTAAATTTGCGATTTTGTGTTGGGCCACATTCATAGCCATCCTGGGCCACAGGCGGCACATGGGTTGGACACCCCTGCTAGGGTATCACAAACAACAGTAAGCAATTGGAAAGGTTCCCGGTTTCGCGTATGCAGGGTCGGGGCGGTCAGTAGTGGGGTGTTCAGCCATATCAAATAAATGATAGCCTGGACCCGTAGTCCTTCTCTCAACTTTAATCTGGATCTGAGCGCCGCAGGACGAGTAGCGGGTAAGTGGGGAGAAATCGGATTTGGCCCCTCCGGGTCCGCCCTCCTGCCCGCCCTCTCTTCCTCCATAGCCATTGGGCAACTTCCCTGTCTGTCAAGGGCCCGCCTCCGTAGATGAACCAATAAAGGCTGGCGAGAGGACGCTTCCTTCTTGAGTTGCACTGGGAGCTTACAGAGGTGAGGTTCGGCGTTGGCAGCGGGGTACTCTACGCAGGCGTGGCACGGCGGGGACGGAGCCCGGCGGCGGAGGCGCAGGCGGGTGAGAGTAGTGGGAAGGTCGGTGGTTGGGAAGGGGACCTGCCCGGGTTATGGACGATTCTCACACCACCTGGTCTGGCCAGCATCTGGGCCTCCCACGCTCACGGCATCGGCTCAGGTGATGGGGTGGAGAGCGCAGTGCAGGTGAGGCGAGGCGAGGTGAAATGAGGCGAGGTGAGGTGAAGATGAGGTGAGGGGGCGGGCCCGCAGCCATGGTCATCCCACTCGCGCCACCGCCACGTGGGCTCGCGACTAGCCAAGGACCCTTGCTGCCTAGCGAGGCACTAGCTAAGTACTTTGGTCCCCGTAAGAGCTCTGAGAGCTTAGTGTCTCGGCTGAATCCCCCTGTTTTACAAGCTGAGAAACTGGGGCTTAGGGACGTGGCCGCGCTCGGTTTGGTGGTGATCTGGCCGGGCTGGACTCAGGAGACCTTCCTCTTATCTACTAGGACGTGGGTCAGCGACTTGAACTTGGGACCCGTTTATTTCCTTTGGGTACGCGAAATGGTTTGGATCGGGGCTGCGGCAGACAAACAGCCTTCCGTGGAGCCCGGATGTCTGGCTTTTCTGCAGGGTCCGGGGCGGTGGGGGGAGGGGTAGGCGCCCTCTGTTCACCCGGACCCGCTTCTCCTGCCCCAAGTTCATCGAGGGGGGAAGGATAATGATCCTGTCAGTTCTGGGAGCTCTCGGATACCGCAACGGGCAACTTGGGGAGGCCAGTATTCTTGCAAAATCCGAAAACACGTGGGAAACGCTCTTCCTCCCGGGTCACTCTAGAAAATAGGAAGTAGGGATTAGAGCAGGGGTTTTTTTGTTGTTTGTTTGTTTGTTTTTGTCTAAGGCAAAATACCACCAAAGGCTGTTGAAGGTGCTAGGAAACTGCTTCATGCCTTTGCTGAGGCAGATGTGAACCTTTTGGAAATTAGTTTGGCAATACAGCTACACCCTTTGACCTACTAATTCCTCCTTTGGGAAGTAAGGAGGATAAAATCTAAGTAGGGAAAAGGTTGATGGACAAAGCAGTGCAGTTTGGTGTTTTATCAATGGCTGTGGAAATGACCTTCATATCCCCAACAATAGAGAACGGTTAAATAAATTGTGATTGTTTATACCAAAATGGGATATTATACATTCATGAAGTGTAATTTCGGGAATAAAATGCTCTTACCAGGAAAACTGGATTCAAAGTTGTGGTTACGACTATATAAAAATATGTACAGAATGACTGGAGGATAATACACCTAATGATAAAAGTAATAACTACCTTCTTGTTGGAACAGAAGGGTCATGTTTTGTTAAATCCTCACAAAACCTTAGGAGACTAGTATTCCCATCCCACCAATGGACAACCGGAGCTCCAGCACTGTGCCTGATGCCAAACAGCTAGTGTTAGACCTAGTATGCGATGGGCCCTTAAAAATCCACATTTAGCCAATATTTAAGGACTTGTTGTGTGCCAGGTACAGGGCTGGGCCCTGGAGAGCCACTGGTAAGGCAGTGAATTCCTGGAGTTTGGTGGGAAAGCAGAACGCTTAGAGTCTGCTGGAGAGAGTGAGCCTGGGAGCTAGATGCTGGGCTCTACAGGGGAAAGGATATGGGAAAGACAGGGAAAGGGGCCCTGGGCCAGCTGTGAGAAATGAGTGAGCTCCGTGGGGAAGCCCATAGTGGCTCTTTAAGAGTGGAGAGTGTATACAAATACTGTTTTTCACATTTTCTGGGATGTGTTTATGTGTCATAATGAGAGGTACGGAGATGTGCTTAGGTATTTTGAGTTTAGTCAACCCTTTTAAACAGTTCACCTTAAATGATTTTTGTTCAAGGTAATGACAAATTAAATGTTTTCAGAAGTCATTATTATTGAGAAATTAAATTTGAAACTTTAAAACTCTTTAATTTTCAGGTTGAAAATAAAAAACCCTTTTGCTGAAGGAACACGTTTGCTGGTATAGTTTCACAATGTCAAGTACTGTGTCTTACTGGATCTTAAATTCTGCAAGGAACAGCATTGCCACATTACAAGGGGGCAGGCGTTTATATTCAAGGTATTCCTCAAGTAGAAATAAATCAAAATGGACGCTCTTTTCCTGGGCACCAACCACCCTAAAAAACAATGCCCAGTGTAGTAGCTTTGCTCTGCCAAAAGCCTATAGACACACATCGACAGAGGAAGATGATTTCCACCTGCAGCTCAGCCCTGAGCAAGTAAATGAAGTGCTACGAGCTGGTGAGTCCACCCACAAAATTCTTGACCTCGTCAGCGGAGTCCCAAATTCAGTGTTGAGGTTTGAGAGCAACCAGCTGGCTGCCAACTCCCCAGTGGAGGACCGGCGAGGTGTTGCGTCCTGCCTGCAGACCAATGGGCTGATGTTTGGCATCTTTGATGGACATGGCGGCCATGCATGCGCTCAAGCAGTAAGTGAGAGGCTCTTCTACTACGTGGCAGTGTCACTGATGTCTCAGCAGACCTTGGAGCAGATGGAGGGAGCAATGGAAAGCATGAAGCCCATGCTGCCCATCCTACAGTGGCTCAAGCACCCAGGGGACAGTATCTATAAGGATGTCACATCAGTGCACCTTGATCACCTTCGGGTGTACTGGCAGGAGTTGCTTGACCTGCACATGGAAATGGGATTGAACATTAAGGAAGCATTAATGTACTCCTTCCAGAGACTGGATTCAGACATCTCGCTGGAAATCCAGGCCCCTCTGGAAGATGAGATGACAAGGAACCTTTCTCTCCAGGTTGCTTTCTCTGGGGCAACAGCTTGCATGGCCCATGTTGATGGGGTTCATTTGCATGTGGCAAATGCTGGTGACTGCCGAGCCATTCTTGGAGTCCAGGACGATAATGGCATGTGGTCTTGTCTGCCCCTTACCCATGACCACAATGCCTGGAACCAGGCTGAGCTGTCACGGCTAAAGAGAGAGCATCCTGAGTCAGAACACAGGACAATCGTTATGGATGACAGGCTGCTGGGTGTCCTCATGCCCTGCAGGGCGTTTGGGGATGTGCAGCTAAAGTGGAGTAAAGAGCTGCAGCGCAATGTCCTGGAGAGGGGTTTTGACACTGAGGCCCTCAACATTTACCAGTTCACGCCCCCACACTATTACACTCCACCCTACCTGACTGCTGAGCCTGAGGTCACATACCACAGGCTGAGGCCCCAGGATAAGTTCCTTGTGCTGGCCTCTGACGGCCTATGGGACCTACTAAACAATGAGGATGTGGTGAGGCTGGTGGTAGAGCACCTACGTGGTGCAGGTCGACACAAGCCAGACCTGGCCCAGAGACCCGCCAACCTGGGACTCATGCAAAGCCTGCTACTGCAGAGGAAAGCCCAGGGGCTTCACTCTGCCGACCAAAATGCAGCCACACGTCTGATCAGGCATGCCATAGGGAGCAATGAGTATGGAGAACTGGAGCCGGAGCGGCTGACTGCGATGCTGACATTGCCAGAGGACTTGGCGAGGATGTACAGGGATGATATCACTGTCACTGTGGTGTATTTTAATTCAGACTCAATTGATGCATATTACAAGGGAGGTTAAGAATCTCCCATCCTATTGCCAAGGTTAACTTAAATGTTCTTCTAAGATATTTTCACTTACTCTTAAACTGGCTATTCAAAGCTTGCTGTTAAAAGGGCAGTCAGGTATTGCTTAATAATAAACTAATGTGTTTGTGGGGGGGGACTGCTTAAGTTTAAAAACAATAACAGTGATTTCATGTCCCTGTGTGTTTTGGTCACCTCTTCTATGCAGAGAGGACAGAACACAGAGACACAGAGTTGGCTTGGGCTCGTGTAGCCCAAATTCTTTCATAAAGACACATGAAACTGTTAGCCTGAGCCCCCAAAGGGTAAATTTAATGATGATTCTAATCATATGAAGAACTTCAGGATCCTCTGAGGTTTTGCTGGACTACGAGACTATGAAAGGGGGTTTGGTTTGTTTGTTTTTTAAATTGCTAAGACCTAGGTTTACGAAAGATACAGGACACTTGTCTATGCAATATTCTAACTGTTTTTGTGATTATACTTGTAAAAACCTTTTGTAATGCTGCATTCTAGTTCTATTTTAGTTTATTTTAAAACTGCGTCTTCAAACTTGCAAACAGGCCTGCTGTCAGCATTTTTGGAATGACCTGTCGATTTTCAGCTGAGGGTGAGAGGGCCTAGGCCTCTGGGCCAGTGGAATTTACCGGTGCAACTTTTGTCCCTTCCACTGGGTTCTACCTCCTGAACCTTGGAACCACAGTAGGAGGTAACTTCTGTCTAAGCCTGAACTCCTGGCCTTTCCTGCATTAATAGTATTTTCTCCAAGGTTTAATCCTCTGGAAATTTAGTCATAGCACTTAACCTTTCTGTTTATACCTCTTAAACATTCTCCTGTTAATTCCTACCTTTTCTATGTGAACTCCCTTATCCTACTGCTTCTAACTGTAAAGAATGCTTCCATTTCAGATGGTTTCAGGGAAGGAGAAAACATGATCTCCTTAGGCAGCGCTGGCTTTTGCAGTGGATTATAGACTAAAGACTTAGCCTGAACTTGGAGAAATGAAACAAGAAGAACCTGAGAATAGTCACTAACCAAGGCCCCCTGTTGGGGAGGAGAGCAAAGGGAGATTCGTCAGATGGGACACTTGTCCCTAGACTGTGGAATAAATCACATTGTTACTCCTCAGGAACTGGATGGTACAGGAGTTGTGGCAGAAATAAATGTAACCTATAATAGCTTCTGTGGTCTGCACAGACTTGTGTCTGTTGAAAAATTAAACCACATGGTTCCTTTTTGGGAGAGGAGTTTCATGTTATGAATTTGGTGGCATTTAAACGACAGGAAATGTGTCCCTAAATGGAAACACAAATAAAATCCCACAAAACTGACATTTTTATCTTCCTGTACTATATTAGTTGATCCTTCTCACCCTGCTCCCACGCTTCCCCATGCCATCACTGAAGGAAAAGCAAATAACTAGAACTAGGACTGACTTCCTCATTTTTGTCCATGTCCCAGTGATGGTCATTCAAGTGTTGGGATACTTCTACCTTGGGGACATTTCCCTGTACCTTTTCCAGTGCAACTTGTTAGTGATACAGCTTCTTCTAAGAAATTGTTTTTTGAGTGTTTAAGCTTTGGTTCTTTTGGGTTTTTCTCTAATTGATTTTTTTTTTTTAGAAAGAGAAAAAAAACAACACTGGTTTGTTTCACTTTATTATACATTCATTGGTTGATTTTTGTGTGTGCCCCGACCAGGGACAGAGCCTGCAACCTTGGCACATCAGGACAGTGCTCCAACCAACTGAGCTACCTGGCCAGGGCCAAGTCTTGGTTCTGAAGCCATTATTATTCCTTCTAATCTAGCTCTTAACTCAGAAATAAAACATGAATCACTACCATTCTGTTCACATGAAGGTTTGTTGCTAGAGCTGAAGATTGCTTGTCTGACAACCTTTGTTCTTTGTGCCTGCTAAACCCTGGCACACCCTCAGAGCATTTACCTGAACATAAATCCTGTTTTGTATCTAGCGTAATCATAAATGTATCTGATTCAGTAACTTGTGGGACAGCTGAGAGAATATAGACTTCCCAGCTGTTTCTCCAAGTGTATCTTTTTTCTCTGCCTAATAGATCTCCTGCTTTCTAATGGGTATATTGAGAGGAGAAAGGTCAGTTTAGTCTTCCTTTTTCCACTGTGAACTCCATCAGCTCTTCCCATGAATGCTCGAAGGGATACCCCCTGGTTAGACCCCAGTGTGCATCTCTCTGACCATGGTTCTGTCTCAGTCCTCTGACCACTGGCAGAACTGTTGTGCAGAGTGAAAGGTCACCAGTTGGATTTCTGGTCAGAGTACATACCTAAGTTAAGGGTTTGGTCCCCAGTTGGAGCATGTACAAGAAGCAGCCGATTGATGTATCTCTCTCACATAGGTGTTTTTCTCCCTCTATTATTCTCCCTCCCTTCCCCTCTCTTGCTCCTGCCTGAGGACAGTGGGGTTGAGAGGGTGTTGGTTGTACTTGTCAGGTCTTCCAAAGCATTTCCCGCTCCTTTTATAATGAGACTTCTAAAATAAACAAAAAATTATGCTTTGGTGCTTTAATTACGTATTTATTATTTTAGGTAAGAGACATTGGTAATAATTGACCTAACTTAGGTATTTTATATGTAAATAAAGTATGTCTGCTGATTCTAGGGAGTGGTCAAAATGGATGAGGAAGATGGTATTAGTTCTAAATTCAAATTAGTATGCTAGGTCAAGTTATTACTTAGATTCAGTTTTCTGAGATGTTAATTGTAACATTAAAGCTAATTTATTATAAGAAAATATAAACTTTGAGGTATGTTAACATATAAACATGTCTCAGAAGTATGATTGGCCTAAAAGATCCCTGGTCTTGGGCACACTGGGTAAAATTCAGGTTAGACACAATTGACTGGCACCTTTTACATATAAATGAAACATAAACAGTTCAAATGAGTTAATAAAAGAATAATTAATTGTATAGAACAAGAAAATGTGTTCAGAATGAGTCTGGCTTGAGTCTTGTCCACCAGCCTTTGGCGACATCTATCCATTGACAGTTTGGGGGAAGCTTAACTTCCCAGGTTAAACCAGAATGTCCCGGAACTGAGCCATCCTATTTGCATCTTAAAGTGGTTCATTTTTCCCAGAATGTGACTCTTTCCCATGACAGAAAGGCCCCAGTGCAGCTTTAGAGCTGGGGTGGAAAGACTGGTGGTACTGCTCGTCCTGCAAGCTGCCATGAGCATCACTGAGTGGAAGGCACATTCGGACTGCCATGCGACTAGGCTGAGGCTCCGTACTCTGTGCCTCGAGCACCTAGCCACCCTGCCTCCTGGAAAATTGATCTTTTTTAAATTACTATTTTATTGTTCAATTACAGTTGTCTGAATTTTCCCCAAACCATTCCCCTGCACCTAACCCCAGCTAAACCCACCTCTCCTTGCTTCCATCCTCTTGGAAAATGGTTCTTAATCAAGCATTTACTTGGAAAAATTCTTAACCATGTTCTTTATATTTACTAACATTTGTATTTTAAGCTGTATACCAGTGTTCATATTTGACATTGATTTTCTAACCATTAGAGGTATTTAAATGAAACTTGTAAATAAAGGAAAGAAAATGCAGTTTGGTTCCCTTTGTTTTGAATATTATTTTGGGGGTCTTTGTGGCACTAGGTGAGGCCAGCCCTGGCCTCAGGTTTCACTGCCTTTATCTGGCTATGGAATATTTTAGTCTGTTCAAGAATCCACTAGGGGGGGAAAAAAAGAATCTACCAAAAAGACGAGTTTTCTTGGCAAATTTTTGGTGGCTGCTGGCCACACAGGAAGTCTTCAGTGTTAACCTTGTGCATGGGGACCTGAAAAGAAAAGAAGGAAAAGGAAGTGAAGGCCTTTGCTGTGAGGGTTTCCGCACACTCAGTTCCAAGGTCTGTCTGCTGGAATTTCACATTATTTAAATGAGCTTGTTAAATCTCAAATTATTTGTTAATCTTTTTTAAAAGACTATTTATTTTTACAGAAGGGAAGGAGAAAGAGCAGGAGAGAAACATTCATGTGTAGCTGTCTCTTGCACAACCCCCATGAGGACCTGGCCTGCAACCCAGGCATGTGCCCTGACTGGGAATCAAAACGGTGACCCTTTGGTTGGCAGGCTGGCACTCAATCCACTGAGCCAGGGGAATTATTCATTAATCTTAAATGCAGAGCCAACTTTGGGGAAAAGTCTAGGCAGCTACCTAGAGTTAAAGACCCCCTCCAGCTGTGACTGGTATGGCTCAGTTTGGGGGCATTGTCATGCAAAGCAAAGCAAAGTGAAAGGTTACCAGTTTGATTCCATACAGGAGGCAACTGATCTGTGTATCTCTCACATGGATGTTTCTGTCCCTCTCTTCTCATTCCCTCCTTTTCCCTCTCTCTTTCTAAAAAAAAAATAGCCCCACTCTTTCTCAACCCCATTAGAGGGATACAGCTCATAAGGACTGCTCTAATGGTTGCTTCTTAAAATGAAAATGCATTATTGTTAATAATGTTATTAACACTAGCCATTAACACTTTAGTGTGAGTTAGGGTAGTATATTGGACCTTGAGGAGGAGGACATTTTGGGACAGAATGGTGGAAAAGGGATTATATAAGGTCTGACTTGAGGAGCTATTTGCCTCCTTTTAACATCATAAAACAGGCTCTGAGGTTGAGAAACTTCCCCTGACACCATGGTCGGGCAGATTTGAGGCAAGTCTATAGTATCTGCACTTGTCCTATTTACTGGCTCTCAGAAAAAAATATTATGCCCAGTGTTGGCCCAGAGTGGTTGGAGATGGGGCAGAGAAGTGCTGAAAAAGAGCTTGATATACTTAACATATACATTTCAATATGCCATTGTTTTGGAATATGATAAAAATAGAAAACAATTAAATTTTAAAAATTAAGCTCTTTAGGCTCTTTAACTAGATGTGGAAAAACTTAGGGTTTTTTTTTTTTCACCTCTAGAGCTTTGTTTTAATTTAATTTGTTGCTACTAAACACCCTTAAGTAGTTCCCAGGCTGGTGACCCTCTGAATCGTGGGTGACTGGAACTCCAGGCAGCTACCTCAGGGACAGGCGAAACTTTCCTGGACTCCTGTGGGTCCGAATGCCTTTGCCCCTTTGGCCCCTGACCTGATCTGCTCCACAGGGAAAATCGCCTGTCTGGGAGGAACACAGAGGGTAAGGGGGCCAAAGTTTCCAGTTCGGTCCTTTGTTGGCAAGGGGATAAGTTGGCCAACCATGTTACTTACCCCTACCCCCCTGAAAATAGTCTGTAGAGGGACTTTCCCAAGCTGGCTCTGTCTCAGATCTTAACTATTCCTGCCTTTCTGGGGTTCTGGAAAGCCCTCGCTGGCCCAACCCCATTCTCCCTGCAGCAGATGAACAGAAGAAATGTCTGCCATGAGCTGCTCTGTCCAGGCCACCCCACACAAATTTTATGTGCCCCAGAGCCAGGCGTGCTGAGCTGGCCAAAGACGGTACCATCCAGCTGGGGCTCAGAAGCCCATGACACTGGGCACAATGGGGATGGGCAGGGGCACAGGGGTGAGTCCAGCCCAGTGGGTCTGGGGACAGGCTCCAGACATTGTGGATATAGGGGTGAGAGTTGTGGTGAAGGCTGAGGGGGAGCTACCCACACATGGCTGGTGGACAAGAAGGAGCCCGTGGTCCCGTGGTCTCCAAGAATGAAGACATGGACGAGGCCATGCAGCAACCTCAGAAAAAATTACGGGCATGTCTTGTTCTTCATTGGCGTGGAGGTGGGTTGGGGGCAGCATAGAAAGTCCTACCTCAATGCTCTTACTTTCCTTGCAGGCGCTGGCGGGCATTTGTCCTGTTCCCCTCCTCTCTCCCCCCATCCCTGTGACATCAGGTTCAGCCCCCTGTCCAGCTGATTGTAGAATGAATGAGGAAGGATGGGGAGGCAGATGGAGGGAGGGGTGGTTGGATGGGTGGATGGATGGATGACCGAGAGGAACAGATGAAAAGGAACCGGCAAAAGAGAGTTCAGAGAAGCAGGAGGGAAACTGTCAGTGGTGCCGTGGATGTGAGGAGGGTGTGAGGAGTTTCTGGTACCAGAAAAGATCATGGGTAAGGATGGGTGGAAATGAACAATTAGCTAAAAAAGGCTCACTGAAAAAAGGTGGGGGCCATTGTATTTTGTTACCTGGGACTCAGGATGCAGGGCAGGCCTGGAAGGAAGGGAAGTGGAGGTGAAATTGGGTCTGCGAGAGGGAGCTGTCTGAGCTGCTGGGGTGACTCTTCCCCTGAAACAAAGCAGTGCAGTGGGTTGGGGACAGGGACCTTTGTCAACAAGACATCATGCTCCTTGGTTTATTGTAGAGGAGAGTATCCATGGGTTCACTTGGGGTCCCAGGGGCTTTGCTGGCTTTCTCTGTGTCTTGGCGTGCAAGAGAGCTGGGCCTCTTCCAATTCTGTCTGGTGGCTCAGTCACTAAATCCCAAGGATGTCCTAACAAGACCATTAACAGGCGCGTGCCCTTTGCTGTGGGAATCTGTGATAGAGCAACACGAAGCAGAAGGCTGCCTCTAGAGGTCGCCATCTGGCCGTGTTGGCGTCAGAGACAGCTACAGTGGCGTTCCTGACAAG